GGTAGTCAGGGGCTGTGAGGCACAGGAAATGCGTGCATGGGAAGGTGGGTAGTCAGGGGATGTGGGACCAGGGAGTGAATGAATGTGAAGGTGGGTAGTCAGAAACTATGGGAGCAGGGAGTGCATGGATGTGAGGGTGGTTAGTCAGGGCTGTGGGAGCAGGGAGTGCATGAATGGGCAGGTGTCATGCTGCTCTGCGGGTGGGTAGTCAGAAGCTGTGGGAGCTGGGAGTGTATAGATATGACCGTGGGTAGTCAGGGGCTGTGAGAGAAGAGAGTGCATAGATGGGAGGGTGGGTAGTCATAGGCTGTGGGAGCAGAGAGTGTATGGATGTGAGGGTGGGTAGTCAGGGACTGTGGGAGCAGAAAGTGCATGGATGTGAGGGTGGGTATTCAGGTGCTGTGGGAGCAGGGAGTGCATGGATGGGAGGTCAGGTAGTCAGGGGCTGTGGGAGTAGGGAGTGCATGTATGTGAAGGAGAATAGTCAGGTGCTGTGTGAGCAGAGAGTGCATGGATGGGAGGGTGGGTAATCCTGGGCTGCAAGAGAAAAGACTGCATGGATAGGCAGCCCTGATGCTGTTCTGAGAATAGGTAGTGAGGGGCTGTGGGATAAGGGAACGACGCATGGATGGGAGGGTGGGTCATCAGGGGCTGTGGAAAAAAAAGTGCATGTATGGGAGGGTGGGTAGTCAGGGGCAGCGGGAACAGGGAGTGCATGGATGGGAGGGTGGGTAGTCAGGGGATGTGGGAGCAGGTAGTGCATGGATGTGAGGGTCGGTACTCGGGCTGTGGGAACAGGGAGTGCGTGGATGCGAGATACAGTAGTCAGGGGCTGTGGGAACTGGGAGTGTATGGATGGGCAGCTCTTATGCTGCTCTGAGGGTAGGTAGTCAGGAGCTGTGGGAGCAGGAAATGCTTGGATGTTATGATGGGTAGTCAGGGGCTGTCGGAGAAGGGAGTGCATAGATGGGAGGGTGGGTAGTCACAGGCTGTGGGAGCAGAGTGTATGGATGCGAGGGTGGGTAGTTAGGGGCTGTGGGAGCAGAAAATGCATAAATGTGAGGGTGGGTAGTCAGGGGCTGAGGGAGCAGAGTACATGGATGAGAGGGTGGGGTCTCAGGGGCTGTGGGAGCAGGGAGTGCGTGGATGAACAGCTCTCATGCTGCTCTGAGGGTTGGTAGTCAGCGGCTGAAAGAGTAGGGAGTGCATGCATGCAAGGGTACCTATTTTGAGGCTGTGGGAGCAGAAAGTGCATGGATGTAAGGGTGGGTAGTTAGAAGCTGTGGGAGCAGTGGGTACAGAGATGTGAGGCTTCGTAGTCAGGGGTTGTGGGAGGAGGGAGTGCATGGATGTGAGGGTGAGTAGTTAGGGGCTGTGAAAGCAGGGAGTGCATGGATGGGAGGCTGGGGAGTCAGGGAATGTGGGAGCAGGGTGTGCAGACATGGTAGGGTGGGTAGTTAGGTATGTGGCAGTAGGCAGTGCATGGACGGGTGGGTGGGTAGTCAGGAGCTGTGAAAGCAGGAAGAGTATGGATGTGAGATTGGTAGTCAGGGGCTGTGGGAGCATGCAGTGCATATATTGGAGGGTAGGTACTCAGGGGCTATGGGAGCAGGGAGTTTATGAATGTGAGGGTGGGCAGTCAGAAGCTATGGGAGCACAGAGTGCATAGATTCGAGGGTAGGTACTCAGGGGCTGTGGTAGCAGGGAGTGCATGGATGTGAGGGTGGGTAGTGAGGTGCTATGGGAGCAGGGAGTGCATGAATAAGACGGTGGGTAGTCAGGGGCTGTGGGAGTAGAAAGTGCATGGATGGAAAGATGGGTAGTCAGGGGCTGTGGGGCACAGAAAGCTCATGGATAAAGGGCTCTCATGCTGCTCTGAGGCTGTTAGTCAGGGGCTGTGAGGCACAGGGAATGCTTGGATGAGAAGGTGGGTTGTCAGGGGATGTGGGAGCAGGGAGTCCATGGATGGGAGGATGGGTAGTCATGGGCTGTGGGAGCAGGGAATGCATGGATGAGCAGCTCTCATGCTGCTCTGAGGGTGGGTAAGCAGGAGCTGTGGGAGCAGGGAGTGCATGGATGTGAGGATGGGTAGACATGGGCTGTGAAAGCAGGAATGCATAAATGTGCAGCTCTCATGCTGCTCTGCAGGTGGGTAGTCAGGACCTGTGGGAACTGAAAGTGCATGGATGTAAGGGTGGGTAGTCAGAGGCTGTGGGAGTAGAGAATGCATGGATGGGCAGCTCTCATCCTATTCAGAGGGTGGGCAGTCAGGGGAGTGGGATGAGGAAGTGCATGGATGTGAGGGTGGGTAGTCATGGGCTGTGAAAGCAGGAATGCATAAATGTGCAGCTCTCATGCTGCTCTGCAGGTGGGTAGTCAGGACCTGTGGGAACTGAAAGTGCATGGATGTAAGGGTGGGTAGTCAGAGGCTGTGGGAGTAGAGAATGCATGGATGGGCAGCTCTCATCCTATTCAGAGGGTGGGCAGTCAGGGGAGTGGGATGAGGAAGTGCATGGATGTGAGGGTGGGTAGTCATGGGCTGTGAAAGCAGGAATGCATAAATGTGCAGCTCTCATGCTGCTCTGAATGTGGGTAGTCAGGGCCTGTGAGAGAAGGGAGTGCATGGATATGAGGGTGGGTAGTCAGGGGCTGTGGAATCAGGGAATGCAAGGATGGGCAGCTCTCATCCTGCTCAGCGGGTGGGCAGTCAGAGGTGTGGGAGAAGGAAGTGCATGGATGTGAGGGTGGGTAGTCAGGGGATGTGGGAGAAGGGAGTGCATAGATGGGAGGGTGGTAGTCGGGCTGTGGGAACAGAGAGTGTATGGATGCGTGGGTGGGTAGTCACGGGCTGGGGGAGCAGGAAGTACGTGGATGTGAGGGTGGGTAGTCGGGTTGTGGGAGCACAGTACATGGATGAGAGGGTGGGGACTCAGGGGCTTTGGGAGCAGGGAGTGCATGGATGGACAGCTCTCATGCTGCTCTGAGGGTGGGTAGTCAGCAACTGAAAGCAGGGAGTGCATGGATGCAAGGGTGCCTATTCGGGGGCTGTGGGAGCAGAAAGTACATGGATGTTAGGGTGGGCAGTCAGAAGCTGTGGGAGCAGGGGGTGCATGGATGTGAGGCTGGGTAGTCAGGGGCTGTCAAAGCTGGGACTGCATGGATGAGAGGGTGGGGAGTCAGGGGCTGCGGGAGCAGGGAGTGTATGGATGTGAGGCTGGGTAGTCAGGAGCTGTGAGAGCAGGGAATGCATGGATGGGAGGGTGTGGAGTCAGGGGCTGCGGGAGCAGAAAGTGTATGGATGGGAGGGTGGGTAGTCAGGGACTGTGAGAGCAGGGAGTGCATGGATGGGAGGGTGGGTAGTTAAGGGCTGTGAAAGCAGGAAATGCATGGATGTGACGCTGGGTAGTCAGGGGCTGTGAGAGCAGGGAGTTCATTGATGTGAGGGTGGGTAGTCCAAGGCTGTGGGAGCAGGGTCTGCACGGATGGGAGGGTAAGTAGTCAGGGGCTGTGGGACAGGGAGTGCATCAGGTGAGGGTGGGTAGACAGAAGCTGTGGAGCAGGAAGTTCATGGATGGGAGGATGGGTAGTCAGGGGCAGTGGGGCACAGGGAGAGCATGGATGCAGGGCTCTCATGCTGCTCTGAGGGTGGTAGTCAGGGGCTGAGAGGCACAGGGAATGCATGGATGTGAAGGTGGATAGTCAGAAGCTGTAGCAGCAGGGAGTGCATGGATGGGCGGTTCTCATGCTGCTCTTAGGGTGCGTCGTCAGGGGTTGTAAGAGCAGAAAGTGCATGGATGTGAGGGTGCCTCTTTAGGGGCTTTGGGAGTAGTTAGTGCAAGGATGGGAGGGTAGAGAGGGGCTGTGGGAGCAGAAAGTGCATGGATAGGAGGGTGGGTAGTCAGGGGCTGTTGGATCAGGGAGTGCATGAATGGACAGCTCTCATGCTGCTCTGAGGGTGGGTAGTCAGGGGCTGAAAGAGCAGGGAGTGCATGGATGCCAGGGTGGCTATTTAGGGGCTGTGGGAGCAGGGAGTACATGGATGTGAGGGTGGGTAGTCAGAAGCTGTGGGAGCAAGGAGTGAATGTATGTGAAGCTGGGTAGTCATCGGTTGTGGGAGCAGGGAGTGCATGGATGGACAGCTCTCTTACTGCTCTGAGGGTGGGTAGTCAGGGGCTCTAAAAGCAGGGAGTGCATGGATGCCAGGGTGGCTATTCAGGGGCTGTGGGAGCAGGGAGTGTATGGATGTGAGGGTGGGTATTCAGGGGCTGTGGAAGCAAGGCGTCCCTTATCCGCAGGAACTGGGGCCCAGCGCCCAGTCGGGGGCGCCCAATTCGAGGCGGGGGAGGCAGCCTCGGGCGCGCCGGGATTATCTGGGACGTGGGGGGCGGGCGCGGAGATCGCCACTCTGGTGGAGCCGCTCCTGCCTGGGGGTGGGGGCCCGCTCTTGCAGGTCGAAGAGCACGGGGTGCTGGTGAGGAAGAAGCCGCCGCCGTTCCTCAGGCCAAGGGCGAGCCCGGGACGAACGACGTCCGCGGGGGTGGGGAGCCGAACGGCGGCGCTCGGAGACCCCGGCCGCCTAGCGCCAAGCCGCACAAGGAGGGCACCCAGCAGCAGGAGCGCTAGAACCTGTGGCCTCTGCAGCCGCTGGGCGCCGAAGGCCCAGCCGTCAGGGACGGGGAGGAGGGCGGCTGCGAACCAGGCGTTGGCGGAGGAGGTGCCGGAGCCTCAGGCGCGGGGCGCCGGGACTTCGTGGAAGCCCCTCCCCCCAAGGTGAACCCGTGGATTAAGAACGCAGTGCTGCCGGTCCTGATCACCGTGAACGGACAGTGCCTCCCAGAACACTCTGCCCCAGCCAAGGTGGTGAGAGCAGCTGTTCCTAAACAGCACAAAAGCAGCAAGGTTGGTGACTTTGGAGATGCAATCAATTGGCCCACACCTGGAGAGATAGCCCACAAGAGTGTGCACCACAGTCCCACAAGCCTCAGCCTGCCCGTAAACTGCCACCCAAGAAGGACATGAAGGAACAGGAGAAAAGAGAAAGGAGCGATAGAGAGTCCGAAAACCAAATCTGACGAATCAGGGGAAGAAAAGAATGGAGATGAGGATTGCCAGCGAGGCGGGCAGAAGAAGAAAGGAAACAAACACACGTGGGTTCTATTACAAATTGACATGAAGCCTGAAGTGCCCAGAGAGAAACTGGCTTCACGCCCCACTCGCCCGCCGGAGCCGAGATACATACCTGCCAACCGCGGAGAGATCAAAGGGTCTGAGCCGGCCACCTGCGTGCCTGTGCCCCACCCCCACCCCAGCCTGGCAACCAGAGATCAAACCGGAGCCTGCCTGGCACGACCAGGATGAAACATCGACCCATTCTGACTACCAGTTTGGCTAGTCAAACTGGTAGTTTGATGGTGTGGAGGGGCCTCGTACCCCCAAGTACATGAACAACGTCACCTACTACTGTGACAATGTCAGCGGCACCGAGCTTTACAGCATGGATCAGGAACTGCTCAGACTACATCAAGTGCCAGATTGAATACTACTTCAGCCTGGACAATTTAGAGCAAGACTTCTTCCTCCGAAGGAAAATGGATGCTGATGATTTCCTACCCATCACTCTTATTGCTTCCTTCCACCGAGTGCAGGCCCTTACCACTGACATTTCACTCATCTTTGTGGCCCTAAAAGACAGCAAGGTTGTGGAGATTGTTGATGAGAAAGTTCATAGGAGGGAGGAACCAGAAAAGTGGCCTCTTCCTGGTCCCCCAATAGTGGATTATTCATAGACTGATTTCTCCCAGCTTCTCAACTGCCTTGAGTTTGTCCCCGATCAGCACTACCAAGTCAGCACTACCAAAAGGAGACAGAGTCGGCGCCTGGCTCTCCTTGTGCAGTCACCCCAGTGCCAACCAAAACAGAAAAGGTCAGCAACCTAAAGACACTACCCAAGGGCCTGTCTGCCAGCCTGCCTGACCTGGATTCCAAGAACTGGATTGAAGTGAAGAAGAGGCCTCAGCCGTCCCCAGCACGGCCCGAGAAGTCAGAGGAGCTCAGATTTACCCACCCAACCTCTCTGCCTCAGCAGCTGCCCTCCCAGCAGCTGATGTCAAAGGATCAGGATGACCAAGAGGAACTGGATTTCTTGTTTGATGAGATGGAGCAGGTGGATGGGTGGAAGAACACCTTTACTGCCTAGTCTGATGAAGAATCTGACTATGAGATTGATGACAGGGATGTCAACAAGATCCTCATTGTCACCCAGACACCACATTGCATGCACCGGCACTTGGGGGGGACCGCACAGGCAACCACACCTCCTGTGCCAAGATGAGTGCTGAGCTGGGCAAGGTCATTAATGATGGCCTCTTCTACTATGAGCAGGACCTGTGGGCTGAGAAGTTCGAACCTGAGTATTCCCAGATCAAGCAAGAGGTTGAGAACTTCAAAAAAGTCAATATGATCAGCCGGGAGCAGTTTGACACACTGACTCCTGAGCCCCCTGTGGATCCCAACCAGGAAGTTCCTCCTGGGCCACCTCGGTTCCAGCAAGTTCACACGGATGCGCTGGCCAACAAGTTGTTTGGTGCTCCTGAACCCTCCACCATCGCCCACTGTCTATCAACCACCGTCCCAGAGTCACCAAACTACCACAACACTGGGACCCCCCGCACTCCCCGGACACCACAGCTCAAAGACTCAAGCCAGGCATCACGGTTTTACCCAGTGGTGAAAGAAGGACAGACACTGGATGCCAAGATGCCTTGAAAAAGAAAGACAAGACACAGTTCAAACCCACCCTTGGAGAGCCATGTGGGCTGGGTGATGGATTCCCATGAGCACAGGCCCCGTACTGCTTCCATCAGCTCAAGCCCCTCAGAAGGGACACCTACAGTTGGCAGCTATGGCTGTACTCCCCAGTCGTTGCCCAAGTTCCAGCATCCTTCCCATGAACTGCTCAAGGAAAATGGCTTCACATAACACGTCTACCATAAGTATCATAGGTGCTGCCTTAATGAGCAGAAACGCTTGGGCATTTGCCAGTCTCGGGAGATGAACACACTCTTCCACTTCTGGTCCTTCTTCCTCTGAGATCACTTCAACAAAAAGATGTATGAGGAGTTCAAGCAGCTGGCTCTGGAGGATGCCAAAGAAGGCTACAGATATGGTTTGGAGTGCCTTTTTCGATACCACAGTTATGGCCTGGAAAAGAAATTCTGGCTGGACATATTCAAAGATTTTCAGGAGAAAACGGTGAAGGACTATGAAGCTGGCCAACTGTATGGCCTGGAGAAGTTCTGGGCCTTCTTGAAATATTCCAAAGCCAAAAACTTGGACATTGACCCCAAACTGCAAGAATACCTCTGCAAATTCCGACGTCTTGAAGACTTCCGAGTAGATCCCCCCATGGGTGAGGAGGGCAACCACAAGTGACGCTCAGTGGTAGCAGGAGGTGGCGGTGGTGAGGGCAGGAAGCGGTGCCCTTCTCAGTCTTCCAGCAGGCCTGCCGCCATGATCAACCAACCCCCTACACCACCCACTGGCCAGCCCGTCCGGGAAGATGCCAAATGGACAAGCCAGCACTCGAACACACAGACTTTGGGAAAGTGAAAAACTCCTTAGCCCTGGGGCTTGAGAAGAAGGGAAAGGGGTGGGGTGGGTAAGAGTCCATGGGGGTGCCCAGTCCCAGTAGAAGGGACAATGAAGGGACAGGCCTGAAGCTACTAGGACAGGCCTTCGTGCTGAGTAGCAATGTGTTCACCATTTGAGCTATCAGAGTTACCCTGGGCAGGAGCCTCTTACATCCCCTTCCCCTCCTCTCTCCATGACTCTTAACATCCAAGCTTTTTCTAAGGGTGGGGGGAAGGGGGAAGATTATATATATGTGTCTGTGTGTGTGTGTGTGTGTGTGTGTGTGTATATATATATATATATATAGAGAGAGAGAGTTTTAAATTATTGATAGTTCATCTGGATTACCAAAATCACTCTGCAGCCCTGCCCACGGCTAGTAGGCGGAAACCCTAGTCCCCACCTCTAATCTCCTCCTGCTCCCCCTCGAGCCAACTATGCAGTCCACAAGAAGGCCCTGCGGGCACCATTGCCCAGCACTGTCCCATAGAAGGCTCTGGTGATAACCTTGGGCCCCAGGAGCATCGGTCCCTCAATCATCTGGGGTTTGTCATCACCATGTACTCTCCCTGCTATCACCATCATGTCCTTCTGCCATCTTCTGGGAGAAGGAAACCAAAGGATCTAAAACTGGGGTTTGGGGGGAGGTTTTAGCCTCTCCCTACTCCCCTTGACCCACACCCTTTACTCCCCAGCCCAGAGAGATGCTGCTTATACCAGGAAAGACTATTGAAAGATGATTGATTTTATTTTTCTCTGACCTTTCCATCCTTGAGAAAATGGAAAAAAAAAAAAGACAAAACCAACCATAAAAGACCAAAAAAAAAAAAAAAAAAAATCAGAAAACCCCCTCCTAATCCACAGAAAGTTATGTCCTTCTCCTTTTGGAAATAATATTTTTTTTAAAAGTTGCCTTATTGTGGAGCGGGAATCTGAAATACCCAAATGCCTGTTCTCCTCAGTGGAGTCAACCCGAAGAGCTCCCACCTTCTCTGGATGTGCCTGGGCTTGGACTGGCTAGAATTTTTCTCTGGACTGTTGCATGTACAGTGTCTCCATCCTGGAGGCAAGAGAGTTGGGGGTGGCTCAAATCAGAGCCGTACCTAAGATATCCCTGATGTTGCATCATTTGTAGCTGACGTCCTGTACACTGCTGCCACTGTTGTGTCCTTGCTCTGCTTGCTGTTGCCTCATGCCAGGCCCCGTCCTGCTATGACACCCTTCATCCTATCCTGGGAACCCCAAGGCCAAGTTTCCTTCGAACTGTTGGAGAACAGAGTTGGCCTGTATCTGGAACACACTCGTCCTCAGCTTGAACGTCTTCCTCCACCCAGAGTGGAAAGGTGAACACCTGCAGCTGAGGCTTGGAAACATTTGTGCTGCTCTGAAAGATCTCTGAGACCTCAAGGAGGCTCTGTCTCTCTTAAAGGGTGGAGAAAGATGCCATTCTCTTCCTAAGGTCTGGTGGAGTCTCCCCATCTTGCATACCCTTCTGCAAGCCATCTATCTATGCTCACTCTCCAATTGACCCACCTGGGAACAAGGGATGAGGAGGAATTGGGGGCTGGGGGGAATCCTGCCAGTTGGTGAAGTCCTGTGGTAGGAAGGTATATGTGGACATAGAGTATACCTGATTCTCTTCAGCCACTGACTGCTTGGGTTGGGCTGTAAATGACAACGGAGTGGCTGGAGTCTGCTGTTGTCAGAAGGCAGGGAGAGGATGATGAAGGACTGACCCACACGAACTGGGATGTGTGCTGAGTATGGGCATGACTGCATGTTCACTCTCAGGGGGATCTGGGTAACATGGAGGAGTTCACGGTCCTGTTGCTCACTTACTGCAATGTGCTTGGCTCTCCTTTTCAGCTGGTTCCTCTGTTGGGCCCAAAGGTTGGGAGTAGGAGACAGTATCCCAGGCTGACAAAGGCTTCCCCTTTACCTTGAGTACCTTGTTAAATTTTAGCTTGTGCCCTTCCCCAACTTTGCCCTCCTAGTGGTTGGTATGTGGGAAGCCCATCTCAGTTCCTGTGACTTCATGTCTCAAACCAAGGATAAGCGTCTGGTCTCTGCTATGATGGTGGTATCTGAGGCCTTTCCCTGCCGTCTGGTGCCTGCCTCACATTGTACCAGACACTGGATTCCTGGACTCCCTTCTCCTTTCTTTTCTTTCCTTCAGGTCACACAGCCCTGTACCGTATCCAGCATCACAGAAACCTCAGTGTTTTTTCTCTGCTGGTTTGGGGGCACAAGGAAGCCCTAGGGTGTGGGGAAAGGCTGTTCTTACCTAGAGTTTACTCCCAGGCCAGGGGGCTGCCATCTTCTTCACAGACGTCCCTGAAAGGAAGCCCCTTTGGGGAAGGGAGGTGAGGACTCCACCTCAACATAGGCTGGTGGCTGGAGTGGGGAGCTTTTTTTTTCCCTCTCTTCTTTCCTTTTTTTTGTGACGTTAGGAGTTCATGTTGCAAAGAGTAGTTTACATCTTCACTTTCTGAAGACACTTGAATTTAGGACCGATGTATCTGTGACAAGCATGCCAGAAGTGGCGGGGGTCATCAGGGCTAGCCACTTCACACCCACCATCCTCCCATGGGGATCCAAGACCTGAGACACAAAGCAACAGCCTGCCCAGATCCCTTTGTTCATCCTGTCCCTTCCAAGGTTGGTCCATGCCAACATAACCTTTGGGCATCAGAAATCAGCAGGTCTGTGTGCCTCAGCCATGTTAAGGGGCAGGTTTCTCTTCTGTCCTCTCCTGCACCTGGGAGCAAAGGCACTACCATTAGAGAAGGACCATACAGCCCTGCCCCAGCTTGGACCCCTGGGGCTCAGATAGAGGTGCTGAGCCCCTATGCCAAAGTTGTTAAACGTTTTTGTTTTGTTCCATTGTAGCTCTTTTTTTCCCTTTCCTGGTGATTGATTTTATAAAAGAAAGTAAGCTGCTTAGAAGGTCCTGGAAATGAGGAGGAGAGACAAGGAAGATGACTAGTTAGGGAGGGAGAAGGTTGTTTTTTGCCCAAAAAAAAGCCTGGATAGAGTGATCTGAATTATCTGGCACCCTCCTGAATGGAACCCCAGAGTACCTCCCGTGTGGAAGAGTCCCTGTATTTTCCTGACACCCACCCTCTCCCCCTTCAGCCATGTTGATGGCAAAGAAGATAAGAACTTGGAGCCCATTTCTCACTGGAGAGGAAAACTTGTCATCTGGCTTTGCGGAGAAGGTTCCACCTTAATGCTCGTAGTACATTGTCTTCATTATGTGCTAGGATATCATATTTAAAAGGACAAAAAAATGTAAAATACTTGAATGAGCTTGTATTATAACATTAATATTTTTGAGAGTATCTGCTTTGCAGGCTGAAGTGGTTCATTCATTATTCTAGTCCTGCTTTAGTCCTTTGTAATTTGTGGTAATTATGCTTTTCTTTTAATACAAAAAATATATAAAAATACACACTTGAAAAGGCAAAAAAAAAAAAAGGAAGGAAGGAAGGAAATCAGTCACTTTAAAAACTGCTGTGGCCAAGCTTCAAGCTCCAGGATGCTCAGTGTCTTCCTGTATGTTGTTGACCCAGGACCTTCCCTCTTGATAAAATACTGCAGTCTCTGGTGACCCTAGGCATCCCTGAGGTCCCTGAGGTTTTGGTTTCTGGGTGGCCTCAAGGTAATTTGTGGTTCTGATTTTCCCTGATTTTTTATTTTTCTTTTTCTGTTTTTCCTTTTTTAGAGACAGGGTCTCCTTCTGTCACCCAGGCTGGCATGCAGTGGCACAATTTTACTTACTGCAACCTCTGCTTTCCTGGCTCAACTGTCAGGCGTACCGCTCATGTTAAGAGACCACCAGGCAGGCTTTGTGTGGGCAATGAGGTCATTTTATTTCCCATTTGTATGCAAGTGGGCCAAGTCTGAGAAAGGAGTTAGGTGAGGGGAGTAGGAAAGGGTCTGGTTATAAAGGTTGGGGCAAATGGTCAGTTAAAGGTGGTAATCTATTTTGGGGAGGGGAAGGGCATCATGGGATGCATGGTCACAAAGGTAGGGGTTATCTATTACAAACAGGCATGATCATAAGGGTGGAGGTTATCAGTGGCAAGCAGAGGGGAGAGTGAGGTAAATTACATAGTTACAGGGTTGGGTATCTTGAGGAACCTAATGTCTAGGGGAAATCTTCACAAGCCTGAGCAGGAACAATGGTGGAACGTTGCAGGGGGAGAGCAATCAGTTGAGGCAGGAGCTAGTTGTTTCACTGCTCTTTGTGGTCATCAAGTTACTTCAGACTCTCTGGCTCCTGGAGACTATCAAAGGTGTATGTACTGGTCACCAAGGCTATAATGACCAGGCTTGGACTTGGAGGCCTGACACAAACAATCCTCAAATCTCAGCCTCTCGAGTAGCTGGCACCACAGTCACAGACCTGGTAGAGACAGGATTTCACCATGTTGCCCAGGCTGGTCTCGAACTCCTGGGCTCAAGTGATCTGCCTGCCTGTACCTCCCAAACTGCTGGGATTGCAGCATGAGCCACTGTGCCCACCAACTGTGATTTTTTTTTTTTTGGTTGCCATTGTTTTGTTTCTTGAGATGGAGTCTCTCTCAGTTGCCCAGGCTGGAGTGCAGTGGTCTGATCTTGGCTCTCTGCAATCTCCACCTCCTGGATTTAAGCAATTATCCTGCCTCAGCCTCCTGAGTAGATGGGATTAAAGGTGTCCACCACCACGCCCAGCTAATTTTTGTATTTTAGTAGAGACGGGGTTTCATCATGCTGGCCAGTATGGTCTCGATCTCCTGACCTTGTGATCCACCCACCTCGGCCTTCCAAAGTGCTGGGATTATAGGCATGAGCCACCGAGCCCAGCCAAGTGTGATGTTTTCAACATGGGCCTCAACAGAAGGGCATTATGATTTCACCAGGAGGAAGTCTCACCCAGTTCCTCCTGTATGGATATTAATCATTCTTTCTGGCTGCCCCACATCTGAGTCTCCTGTTTATATTTGGAGAATCTCTCTTTTATGAGTACTGGCCAGAGACAAAGCCTGCTTGATACTCTAAAGGCCAAAAACGCCAGATGTGTGTTTCCCATCTTTGTGGCAAGGGCATTAGTACCCACGATAGCCTTTGTATGGGAAGCTAATAATGCACAAAGGTGAGAGACAGTCTCCAGCAGGGTTTACAACCCAGGAAGACAGAGTTCTGGTCAGTATTGGCTGGGATGCTGGAGCAGCGGGGGAGGGGGGGACAGGGCTGTTGGTAGTGGGAGCAGCAGCATCCCTGCCTTGGAGGGCTGGGGTGGTGGTGGTGGAGTGATGTCCACGCTGTAGCATTTTTCTGCATGATTTTGGGCATTCATCTGGCTTCTTGACCTCAACTTGTTTCTTCCGTCCTCTCAATGATTCTTAACCATGTTAAATGTTTAATAAATTATATTATTTCATACCACTCATTATGAAAGAAAAAATGTTGCCAATTTAATAATAGTAAAATGCCTTACTACCAGGAATTTTAAAATATACAGTCATCAAAAGTATTTTTAGACTTATTTAGACTTAAGGCCTTATTATATATCACTTGTCGAAACAATAATATCAAAAGAGGCAGGGCGTGGTGGCTCATGCCTATAATCCCAGCACTTCGGGAGGTTGAGGCGGGTGGATCACCTGAGGTCAGGAGTCTGAGGCTAGTTTGGCCAAGATGGTGAAACCTCATCTCTACTAAAACTATAAAAATTAGCCAGGCATAATGGCAGGTGCTTGTAATCCCAGCTACTTCAGAGGCTGAGGCAGGAGAATCGCTTGAACCTGGGAGGTGGAGGTTGCAGCGAACCCAGATTGTGCCATTGCATTCTAGCCTGGGTGACAAGAGCAAAAATCCATCGAATATGGCCGGGCGCGGTGGCTCATGCCTGTAATCCCAGCACTTTGGGAGGCCGAGGCGGGTGGATCACGAGGTCAAGATATCGAGACCATCCTGGTCAACGTGGTGAAACCTCGTCTCTACTAAAGATACAAAAAATTAGCTGGGCATGGTGGTGTGTGCCTGTAATCACAGCTACTCAGGGTTCTCCTGAACCCAAGAGGCAGAGGTTGCAGTGAGCCGAGATCGCGCCATTGCACTCCAGCCTGGGTAACAAGAGCAAAACTCCGTCTAAAAATAAAATAAAATAAAATAAAATCCATCTAATATATATATGGAGCTGGATCACTGCTCAGCTTGCTCACACAGATGCATCAAATGGCCCTGCCAGCTGACGAGGCACAGGGGATTTGGGCTTCTTTCCTACATTCACATCTAGGGAATTTTGGGAAAATTTCAATAACTGATCAACTTCTGGCTTGGGACAATTGCTGGATACTGAGTGATGACCACTGGCTAGTTCCTCTGTCACTTTTTATTTGAAACTCTCTTTCCTGACTTTTGGAACATCGATTTTTCATGGATGTCTAAAAAAATCGCTACTGAAGTTTTTTCTTGAGGACTTGACAGGGGCATTGGGTCAGAGTAAGTCATTTGGAGGGCCAAGTGTCTTATGTCTATATCATCTAATACAAGATGCCTGGAGGATTAATACTTGCTCATCCTGGGACTGCTGGCTGTGCTGATATGATAGAGGATGCTGACGATCTAAGGGAAGGCTGTTTAGTGCTTTACCAATATACTTACAGTTAAGTCATTTGATAGTTCTCACCAATAAAAAGACAACCACGCAGAATGTAATTAATGCATACACACTGGATGAGATAACTCATTTTTGCTGTCATTTTACCCTAAGAGAGATCTAGACAACTGCTTCTGATTACAAGAGTTTCATGATACTTCTCCATGGGTCAAGATTTGTAAGTAAGCTCTTCGCTCATTTATTAATCTAGAAATACATGGCCTGTGAGTTTCCAGATAAACAATATTCTTCATGTATACCTCATGGTCCCAGTAATGGGTGGATCTATGACCTTTTTTCATGAAGGACTCACAGAGAGAGGCTAATGAACTTACCCAAGTTCTCACAGCTAGCAAATGGTATAGATGGGATTTTTGAATGTGGGCTCCAAATGTCAAATTTCTTCTTTTTTTTTTTTTGAGACAGAGTCTCTGTCACCAGGCTGGAGTGCAGTGGTGAAATCTTGGCTCACTGAAACTTCTGCCTCCCAGGTTCAAGCAATTTTCCTGCCTCAGCCTCCCAGGTAGCTGGTACTTTAGGCACATGTCACCACGCCCAGCTAATTTTTTTTTGAGACAGTTTTGCTCTTGGTTCCCAGGCTGGAGTGCAATGGTGCCATCTCAGCTCACCGCAACCTCCGTCTCTTGGGTTCAAGCAATTCTCCTGCCTCAGCCTCCAATAGCTGGGATTACTGGCATGTGCCACCATGCCCAGCTAATGTTGTATTTTTAGTAGAGACGGGGTTTCTCCATATTGCTCAGGTTTGTCTCAAACTCCCAACGTCAGGTGATCCACCCCCCTTGGCCTCCCAAAGTGCTGGAATTACAGGCATGAGTCACCGCACCTGGCCAATTTTTTTGTCTTTTTAGTAGAGACAGGGTTTCAGTGTGTTGGCCAGGATGGTCTTGATCCCTTGGCCTCATGATCCACCCGCCTCAGCCTCCCAAAGTTCTGGGATTACAGGCATGAGCCACTGCACCCAGCCTCTTGATTCTTACAAATGCCATCAGCTGCCCACTGCCTCTTATTTTTTGCAAAAAAAAGTATAACATAATCTCTCATACTTTACAGCATTTCTTCATTCCAAGCCTGGATGTTGCTGAAATGTTATTACACAAAGCACGTAAGTGACCATTCAGAACAGCATGAGATTAGAGGCCATAGTGAGTGATTTTGACAAGTCGAATGGCCTGCTGTTTTATGCCTTCTTGCCTTTGATGGGCTCCCCAGCAGCAGGGCAATGCCTCTGACTTTGTGGTCTCCCAGTGGACCCTTTCTATCCCCTCCTCTCTGCTCCCCTGAACTCTGTGGAGACTTTTTGTCAGACTACCTGTAATATGTTACTGAACTCAGTTATTTATCAAGTTTCTCTACAAAACCTGACACTTGAATATAAGGTCAAGTCTTATTCACCTTAGTCCCCTACCAGAGTGCACAGCACGCAATAGGAATTCAGCAGTTAAACTGTTCAGAAAAGGTATCCAACACATGGAAATAAGGCAAAGGATGACTGCGTGTCCCTTCCATGCCAAGCCAGAGTGCATCTAATGGGCCCCTTCAAAGACTGTTAAGTTCTCTAAGAAACTGTACCTTTTGTTTAATTTGCTATTTACTTTTGAGATCCAGGACTAAGTCTTTGAAGTTGCATGCTAACTGGCAGATTTTTGTGAGTATGGATACGTACCATTTCTTTCA